CCAGAGTCAAAATTTTTTAACAATGTTGAATGTAGTTTTCATACTAAAAAAAATAAAACTAAACTTTTAAAACTTTATGTATATAACGACTAAAACTACAACTCAAAAACGTGACCAATCCAACATTAATTTCAACTCTATAAAATTGATTTATTAAATTTATTTTCACTCATTTTAAACTTAATTAATTAATCGAATTTAAGAAATTTATGAAATAATTTAATTATAATCTATATATATAAAAATGAATGTATGTATGTCTGTCTGTCTGTTCGTCTGTCTGTCCTTCATGCATTACCACACCGTTTATCCGATTGTCGTGAAACTTTGAGAAGTTGTTTAATATACTCCCGCGAAGGTTTCTGGCATAGTACATTTATCCTACGATAGATAGCGCGCGTTTATTCCTAATATTGATACATATTTTATTCAGTAATGGGTTTATATATGTGTATATACCCACCACTGGCAGAATAGATAAAATCACTAAACTATTGGTAAATAGTCGCATGTTCGCGTTTAATGACGACTGGCCACATGGAGTTTTCTGACTTTTCTTCGTTTATAACATTAAATAGAAACCAGCTTCCCATTAAAAGTCCTCTCTTAGAAAGTCCACATCCCATCGAACCAACTAATCATAAATATATTACTAATAAATAAAAATATGTATACATATATAAAGCTAAACTTACAAGTAAAATCGAATTTGATTGATGAAATAAAGCAATATTACATGTGGGTTATATGTCAAGGGAGTGTTTCCCGAAAGTAATTTTCTGCGGGAAACTGGCCCGATTTTAGATGTTAAACACGTGAAGAAAATCCAGAAACTTCACGTAGCCTACCCGTTTTCAGGCGCAAACCTTCCACCAACTATTAGCATTCGGTGGTTATATCCACTCGACCACTGGTGGTGCAGACAACTGACCTTACGATTTTAAGTCATATATTATTTAATTTTCATTAATACCATCCGAACTATAATGCTTTGTTGCACGAATTCTAAATAGAGAAACTCATAAATTCTACATTGAATTAAATGAATAAAAAAATAATATAGATAAATCATGACTGCAATTTTTATTTTACTTATAGTTTCTACTTGCTTATATTTATAAGAACGAAAGAATATAAAAATATTTCATATCTTTCCTACTTTTATCGCTCTGGGGTTCTTCCATGTTCAAAACTTTTTACTCTGATTAAAAAAAATATGTATCTCTATATCCTAAGCATCAAAATGAATCATTTCGAATTTCTTACAAAATATCTGTATATTATTAAATATATTAAACTTATAAAGCAATTAAATTTGTTATTTTTCAATATATATTGAGGATTCATATAATGGATTTCGTAATGTAGAAAAACTTATTTTTTATATTCTAAATCGAAAATTCAAAAATTCATGTAAGAAAAATAAAATGTTTTAAATAATAAAATGAAACTTTTATATTTTACTAGCAATGCATTCGGTTGTAACAGATGTTGAAGTAGTAGCTGCCATTTTGTACGGAAGAAATACTGTATATTTTACTAACTTTCCACTACAAAGAATATGAAAACCGATGAACGACAGATTTAATAATATATCTTTTTCAATAGAAAATTAACATAAATAACAAAACAACCGAAATTAAATCGACAAGGAAAATAAAATTCAACAAACAAACAAAAAAATAACTTATATATGAAGCAACTCTTATTCTGAAATTATTGGAAATCACAGAATAAAAGAATTTTCTAGTTGTTGCGGTAGGTCTAATACATCAAAATTAATTATTTTTTTTTAACAAATACTTCGAGAGAAAAAACAAGAAAATCTTTAAGCTTCTATTCCTGGGCAACTTTCGTAGGGAAGAAACGTAAGTATCGGATGATATTAAATGCATATTTTAACGCAATTATTTATTATGACATCGTCACAATGCCGGGCTGTAACCTTTTACATCTCGATGCACAATTCTCTTGATTTTAGTGGTCTTGCCCCTGTATATCATACTTTTCCTGTTAACGAGAATCCTGCCGTTCTGGAGAACATTTTTCAATTGAAATAACGTAACGTCCGGTCCAAACAAAGTTTTTATATAGTTAATCGGTCTTCCGGCTCCTAAGCTTTCCATTTCTGGTCTCGACTTTTATCTATCTAACTCCATTCTCGAGATTAAGGAAGGACCGATAGACAGATAGATAGATGGATGCCAGTGGGAATTTCTAGGTCTGCAATTATATCTTTATAGCTTTTTGTTCAGATTTTCTTGAAAATTCTCTGCCATAAAGTTTTACATTTTTATTTCGCGCCTCCTGGGCCTCTTCGAAAAGTTATCCGATTTCTAATCGAGCCGAACTGATTACTTCAAATCCGGAAAAAGTTTTCTGTTGTATTGTGGGACCAGTTTATATAAAATAAAAAAATCGCTGAAATATTTAACTCGATTAACTCAAAATACAGTATATTCAAATTTTTAAAATTTTCTGCACATCTAGAGGTCACGAGGTTTAATTTGAGACCTCATTTGCCGAAATTGATCAATGAGAAGTGTGTGAACTAAATGACTTTGTTCGTTTTTAAATATATGTGAAGACATGAGTGGAAGAAAGTCAGCTTCATCCAGTCGTGTCTTCATATTAATATATTCCCTCAGAGAGCAAGAAATTTCAGATAATTTCTACATTCTTATTACTAGACAGAATGAAGGATTTAGGCATATCACAAAAAATTAATGATGGATCCGTACCGGAAGTGTAATTTAAATCCAAGAAAAGTTGCTTCCAAAAAAATATATAAAATCTTTAGTCTTGTTTAACGCGTGTAAATATTGTGAAGTATATAATAAAATGGGTAAAAGTACATATCTGTGAGCTCACAATTACACTTATTTCGATTTCTTTGAAATGACTCGAAAATTGCACGCTATGTGCAACAACTGATATGCAGTTCTAGCAATAATTGTATCAAGACTGAAACGATCCAGTCTAACCTTTAATTCGCCGAATTTATCCAGAATCCCTCCTGTCGTTGCGATAATATAATGCCCCATGGATCTGTTTGTTAATACGTATAAACGAATTTGATTAACGAACAACTTAAAATTTTGACTTATCAGCTTATTCAATTCACTTAAAAGTGAATGGAATACACTAACCAATTGAAATGAAAATGAAACTGTAAATTTATTTTAATTATTATCGCGAAACATTCAAATATTCAATAAATTTAAGTAATTCAAAGCATTTCTTTGAATCAAAATTTTAAATTCTAAATTAATTAAAAGAGAAGTTTAGTAATTGAAGTGTAATTATTTACTACTGTTGTAATATAATGTAGGATTCGTTATGACTTCATCTGTCCTATAACCAGGAATAAATACAAAATAAAGATCAGCTCGTATTAAAACTATTCGTCCCAATACCGATGTATTTGTTTTCCACCTAAAATAGAAAATGTTAAAATTTAAAAATTAGAAAATATGTAAATATATTTCTAAATTGCGATTTCAGATGCTGTAATAATGGCCATTTTTAGATTCTTCGAATATTTTTTAAATTGTCGAAATATTATTTTGACAAACATTTGTTATCCATACGAAGCTTGTTGCTTCTTCTCATTAGAGTATTTTAATAAATAGAAAACTTAATGGCCGATGAAATGTCGATGTCCATCCATAAATATTCGTATAGAAGGGAGGCCACTTCCGCGATGATGCTAAAGCAACAATAAAATGATTTCTCGTGACTTGTTGTCTAAACAGTAACACAATTGCTATCAGTTGCTGTAATCGCGGTGCTTCCATACATTGATGCATATCAAAAAGAATGTTTTGATATGCATCAATGTTTCGTCCAAATCTATGATTTCTAAGATACTGATGCATTTTTCTTCTCGCACGTTGGAAACGGTCATTATATACCACACTAGCGTATTATAGGATCTTTTTGCGCAACCTCTGTCTTTTGTATCGTGGACAAGTTATTACGTTTCATCAATTTTTCTAGCCACCCATTCTTATCTGTAAACACCACGTTTTCTTTATCGCTTTCGTCTAACTGTAAAGATCTTTCTTACTTTGTCCATCATCTCTAGCTGCTCACAGATCCAATTCAGAAACCTTTTCTTTTAATTCTTCGCTGATCTTGTGCTTCCTCCAGCCAGATTCTTTGCTTCACTCTTATTCCTCATAGCCTTAAAAGGCGGTCATTTGTTCCTCTGCTTGCGAATTCGCTTTCGAATTTCCATGGTGCTTCTCTGGAGTGTTCTTTTACGTATGCAACTGCGTTCAGTTTGAAAGCAACGCTATAAGGCTCGTCGGTTGCAGAGTTCGAAATAGAAAATACAAAAAGATGCGCTCGCTCACGAATTATTTACCGCATACCTCAGTTGCGCCGCAAGTCGTGGGAAAAACATTTTTCAAGGTTACCACAGGACAATTACCACAGTACGAACAGAAATCTCATAAACTTTGCAAGCTCAGCATAAGAATTTAACGATAGCCGGCGTCCATTTAGCAATTTAAACTAAATAGTCGGTGTTTATAGGAGATCCAACCTGGAGGATTTACACGTAAAAGCAGTAACTAGCTAGTCATTTCTGCATTAATTTTAATTGACTTATTTTTCAAATTATATTTTGATGAACATTCAAATAATTTGGAAATTATACGGACGGTTTCTGGTTTATAGTTATAATTCAAAATATTGTAAAACTCGAATGTATCTAAAGTTGAAATCAAACACATCCTAAACTCATGCTTATAAAATGATTTCTGAATATTCCCATTTTTCTATTTAATAAAATATCTATCTTTAAACGTATGCTAAAAAGAAGATTGAAAAAGTTAAATAATAATTTCTTAACAAAGGAAAACTTTTTATTCAAAGAAATTTTACATATTTCAAAATAAGTTTTTATTTCATTAAAATTCAAAGTAAAAACAACTATTGTTTATTTCATTTAATAGTAAAATGTTATATATAAATATAAGGAAACGTGACTAGAATAATTTGGAAATTAACAATAGGAATGACTAGTTTTCTTTAAATTAGTTTTTAAATTTATCACAAAAAATATAATACTGAAGTAACAAACATTTTAAACAAATTGATTCCCAGAATAATATTTTAATCCCCAAGTAAATTCGGTTCATTTTCTTTCACTTCTTCGGCTGTCAAAAGCTCGTCGTCATCATCCTCGTCTTCTAAATCGTGATAAGCACTATTTGCCGGATCGGAATAATGGAATGTGCTTTTGGATAGATCCACTTCAATTGGAAAAATATTAGTCGCTTTCATTACAGTATGGCATTCTGTATGATATTGTGCAAGAGCTGATACAAGCCTTTGTAATTGAAATACTATATCCTGAACTGAAAATTAAATGGATTAATTTCAATAATTAACTGACAATGTTGGTGCAAATAATATGTAATAAAAACTTCGCTATTCAATATTAATAAAGATTGCAAAATAATGAAAATGTATAAAATTCTAAAGTCTCTGTAAATACAAAAATTTGAGTGGTTTAAAAATATAACAAACTTATAAGCTGTAATTATTGAAAAATTCGAAATCCAATTATTAAAGTTTTCATGCAACCAAATATCATATAACAAAGTTTTTAGTATACTTGATTACTCAATATATAAAATTTTATTTATATTATTTAACTAAACTAATGCAATCAAAGTTCATAATTTATTAGTAATAAAATAAACTTGACAATATAGAAACAGAATAGTGATGAGTTTTGATACTAATTTTTTCTTTTTTTACAGAAATGTGTTTTGCATGTTTGAAAATGTTACCTACCAGATTTGGTTGTATTTAGCCTGTTAAATATCTCTCTATACAGCATTGAATAGGAGTACTTTAATTATAATCATCCAATATATTAAATATAGTAATATATTTTCAAGCAAATTATTCATATGTATTTAGTTGATCTACAATTACATGTTTCACATGATTAGCACTATATATCATTACAAATGAGCATATATTATTGCTTACTGAACATTTTTTGAGGATCTGTAAATAAAATGAACTCTTCTCAGCTAATTTAGCAATGTTAGATAAAATAGTCATGTGGTAAGATATGCATCCATAAATCTATTATAAATTATAGTAGTCTGATTTCAATTGAATCCAATCCCCATATGTCATAATTACTTATGATCTTACACAAATCAGTATCATTCTTTGTTTCTCTATAATGCTGCTAAACACACTGTGGTTTAAGTCTAGCTATGAGTGATAATGCAAATATAAATACAGGATGTCTATAATTAAAGTAGACCACTTTAGACCACTCTGGAGACAAAACATTTAGATAGGTCAATAAAATTTTGTAGGCACATTTTTCAATATAAGAAAACTATAGACAGAGTTTCAAAAATAGTTACAATTTTTGCTACTAAGTATCAGTGAAGTTTCCTTCTTAAACTCTGTCTCCTCAAGTGATTTGTTGCATTAAACACGACTCAAAATTGTTCTGGTATAGCTTCGGTGGATGCACACCTACACACTCAAGATAGTCAGTATGTACACTTTATTTACAAAATATATATAGACTATACAAATTGGAAAACACAGTAAACACAGGATACACAAAGCGTGGTGCCTCATGTTCCAGTTTGGACTTTGGGAAATTAAGTCCGTGAGGATCTCAGTCAATTGATGGATTGGCTCTACGTGCACAGTTCATCCGGTCTCAGCACTTACTCATCCGAGATATTTGGCAGAGGAGTATGCTCTCTCTCTCTAACTTCAGTGGGCTTTCCAAGCATCTAAGACTTCCATGCTACCAGTCCCGAACCCTTTCTCCACTTCTATCCTACTCACTTTCCAATTTAAGGACTTTTAGGATGGGAACTTCTGACCAATTACAGATCTTCCTTGTCCCCCTTTGTCTGCTTGGATCAGATGAGGATGAAGCTTACTTTCATGTCCACCTATCTCCGATGTGGGTGGTCACCCACTTGTTTACTGGCAAGTAATCGGACCACCCTTGAATCCAATTAGTGAGGTCAGTACCTCCTTTGTTCCCTTTCCATTTACAAGCCAATACTTTACAGTATCTAAATGGTGCTACTGTCATAGCAGCAACAAAAACTGTTCAACATGCTTTCTGTCATTCTTAGTCACATATTACAATCAAATTACCACATTAGCAATAGCCAAATGTAACACATCAAGAGTGTGAGATCTTGCAATGGTTGTCATGGTCTAATATCAAATGTAAATAGCCAAAATTCCTCCAGGGAGAGTATTGGCTGGTTGAATAGCACAATCAAATTTAGCATGTGAGTGTTTTATGGCACTCAGGGAAGTTCAGTTGCTTGAAAAACTGCTTATTTGAGAGAGGCTCTTATATAATTCTCCTGGATTCTCCTTGGATTTCACAAGCCAAGTTTAGAGATAAGAGTCTTTATCAAGTCAAGGAGGCCTGATGTTCCATGTTGGGGATAATAGAATGTCAAAAATTTGCAAGTCAAGAAACAGTTGATCCTGTTGACTGGGAGCACACTTACTTATCTATGGTTTGTGGATCAATGAGAAAGTTGCCTACAATAGACAAAGCAATATGGCAGTGATCCAACCATCTGTAGTAGTAATAGGATGAATAGAGTTTGGCATATTATGAGCTCAGAGAGAGAACAGTGATTCATAACTGATTAAGAAGTCTGATAAAGAGGGATCAAGCGAGTCCCTTTAAAAGTCCTTGGCCTTGAGATAAGGGCTTTTAAATGGATCTGGTCCCTCGACCAATCATCCCAATTAATTTTGGCTCCCACCCTCACTTCTCAATTGGTCTCTTACTTGTTTCCAAGAGTAATTCAGGACCAACTTGGACTGTGGGAAAGGTTAAAACTGATATTTGATTTGATACCAAATTCCAATCCCAATCAGAAATGTTTGCTGATTGTAGGACTTTCACACTTTAAATCAGGATTGTGTATTCACTCTCAAAAGCAAGTATTCTGAAGTATATATCACTTGAAATTCCAACAGTGAATATTTGAAACAAAATATTTTATGACCTCTGGGTTTAATTTCTAATTTCCAGTTTTTCTTGGGAAGCAAATTTCCAAGACTTCAGACCAGACTTGGGAGCTCACAGGAATAATGAGATTTGCTTTTCTTTCTATTTGCCTCTTTATTTCTGACAATATGCAACTTCACTTGTAAAACCCCCACTTTTGAAATAGCTCCATAACCAGAAGTAACAAGGTGTGAGATTGGACAAAAAATGAACAGACCAATGCATTTGAAAAGACTAACTGATCATTTTTCATTGCTATATGTGTTATATAGTATGTCTCTCACAACGGCTGCAGTATGGGGGTCTTGAACCATCTTGTATACGTTTGATGTCACTAAAACATCCTCTCTGCTGTAGTTTAGAGAAGACAAAAGTTTGCAGCATGTCTTTATAGCACTACTGTTATGTGATGTTGCTGCAATAGTGGCACCATTACAGTTCTCCAGCAGCTAAAATTTTAACTACTTTTGAAACTCTGTCAATAGTTTTCCTGTATCAAGATAAACATGCCTATTAAAATTTTATTGATCTAGCTCTGAGTTCTATCTACAGAGTGGTCTAAAGTAATATATTTTAATTATAGACACTATGTATAACTTTCATGTGTTTCTACTTCATAATAACAATGTAATATATAACTAACAACATCTAGAAAATATTTAACTGAAAGTACTAAATTTGTAACTGACAGTGTATGTAAAGATTGCATATTCAAATTTTTTCACATTCCTTTTGAAAATTTTTAAAAATTCAAATAATCAGTTTAAATTGTTTAATACTATCAATAAATAGTAATATATCTATAATTATAGAAAATTCATTTGATCATTAATTTATTAATCCAAATCAGCACTATTATATGAGTGATTTATTTTGAAAGACTTGATAAGTCCATTTTTCCTTGTTTCAAGATATTTAAATTTCAATAGATTTAAAAATATTGGTAAGCACTAATAGATAACTTTTATGTATTTTGTGATGTTAGATAATGTAAATTTATTACTCAGTAGTGTTTATTCATGTTAGTTGAAGAAACTGAACATTTTGTTATATTCAAATGGACTTGTCTCACTTTCAAAATTAATGAATTACCATAAATGTTAGTTAAACAGCTAATATTTCAGTTCAGTCAGCCTTATTTTTTAATAACCATCATATCTATTCATTTGATGAAAAATAAAATGTTAAAATTATTTATTTTTATATTATATAATTATCTATTATTAAAAAATTAAAAATTTGAAGCTGAGTAGTCTTCCTTTTCATTACATCCAATTACCAGGAACAAAAGGCAGAGGCATAGCCTCTAATAAAAGCATGTATCCATGAAGACTGTTTTTAATCCTGGTAATAAAACATGACAGAAAGGAGGATGACTTAATTTCTTCTAATTTTTAATTGTTTAAAAAAATATATCATCAGCCATTTTAATTGAAATTATCTATTTATTACTTTATATTTTCAGTTTTATCTAGGATTTAGCATTTTTAAATATTAATGATAAATAGAAGGTATACATGATAATAAATCTATCATGCCCTTATATTTTTTGATGTGTGTAAATGTCCTAGTTTTTTTTATACAAAGAAGATAATTTTAAAATATATACTTGATCACTCTCATTGTGGTGATAAATCGAGAATTTTAAATGACTTTTACACTTCTATATGTATACTACTTGAATTGAATGAGAAAAACCCAAATATTACACAATTTTTAGGTTTTCATAGTGTTGCTAGTATTGCTAAATTTTACTGAAGCTAAATTATACAGTAGAATATTTGGCTCTAGCATAATAATTTTGATCCAAGATGAACTTGCACCATTTTCACAATGAACATGTTTGCAATATCGGTAATCATCAGAACTTCTATTGTCAAAACATTAACGATTCTGAATTATTTTGAGTATAGACTGTTTACAGACAAAAAGACCATATTAAATTCTATCTACTGTTATCATAATCTTCATTTTTTCAAAAATGAGCTTGCCCCACTTTCAAAATAAATGGATCAAATAAATTAAAATTATTATTTCCAATTAATTCATATGCAGTTTGTTCTCATCATCGATATCTACTCTAGTTCAAAAATATTTAAATTTTACTTAGGAGGGATTATAATATACTCTAAAGTCAATAATTATTATTCCTAAAAATGTTACTTAGATATTAAAACTAAAGGTCTACAACCACTATAAAGTTCAGATAATAGTGACAATACATTTCAAAACTTTGTTAACTGATAACATATTTCACTGTTATTTAGTATATAGACTGATTAGAACAAACATTAACTAATTTCAAAATTAAATGATCTTCAGCTTTAGTAAAATAAAATATTAATTCAGTTTTAGCGAAGCATGAACAAATTATCATGAAAAATTGTAAAACAAGGATTACAATATTTTTAAAATTTAGCAATATGCAGAATAATAATTGTTAGAATTTATTTTAAATATTTATACAATGTCTTACCATGTTTTTGATCTAAAAGTTCTAATTTAATTAAAACATCAGAGCGAAGTTTAGCAAATCTGCTTCGGGCATCTTGTCGACATCGTAAAATTAATCTACAAATATATTAAAATATTAATAGTATATTTAATTTTAATGAAAACTTTTTAAAATAATAATAGCTTTCATTTTTAATATTTTTTATATTTTAATGATTTTGTATCTTCATTTTTTGCCACCAAAAACAGAATATCAATAATATTTTATTTAAATATTTATTCATTTAATAAAAAATAAACTTTTTAAAGAACTTTTACTCAAATATATCATATTATTTAAATTTAAATCTTATTTTTTTAAAGAGATTTTTAAAATATAAAGAGACTTTTCAGAAGTTTGACAAGTTAATTTACAAAACTTCAGAGTTTTGAAAAAAATAATGTTAATGATAAATTCAGTTTTAAACTTTTTAATTTGTTTTGTAAACAAATTTAATGCAAAAAATTTTTGCATTATAAAAAATTTAAAAATAGTTTTTAAACTAAATTTCTGTAATGATCATTCTGTTTCAATAAATTAAATAATATTTGACAAATTTGACATTTAAAAATCTTAAAATTTTCATTTTAAAATAATTTGAAAGCATTCAAATTATTCAATATCACCACCAGAGATACAAATATTAATTCTAAACATCACTTATTTTTTAAACATTTAAAAAAAAAAAACTATTAAACAAACCTAACATTCAAACTTACCATTCTCCACTACAATTCTAAGGAACTCAAATTATATAATCACTATTAAATTCAATGTTTGAATGTTTTACTAAAAATCAATTATGCAAAGATTAACAAATAAATATTCACACATACTTAAGAAAATAAAAATTATAAAATCTAGCAGCATATTTGTGTTCAGAATAAATTATTAAAAACATTTTTTTTCTCACAGACAAAATTATCATTTCCTGAAACAAAATAAAAAGCTAGGTATTCATTTTTTCAATTAATGATGGTAAATAGCTTCAAATTATTTTAAAAATTTTCTGAATTCTATCTTCAAATACTAGACTCTCTATCAAAGCAGTTGATTGTTTAAATACAATTTTTCAAACCTTACATTAAGAAAATATACATGTAAATAGTAAACGTAAATGAAACTATTCTGTTTTAAAAGAAAATGCATATGTTTAATAGTATAAAGGATGTCCAACAGAACTTGAGTTATATTTAAAAATGTTTTCTATCATATAATAAAAATTAAGCAATGATTTATTAATACTTGAAATTATAATCTGCAAAAGAAAAACTTAAACATATTTTGCTATAAAATACATTATAACATACATTATAAAAAATTATCTATTAAACCACATTCAATGTTTCAAATCATTAAAATGATGTAAACTATCGTTTCAAGATTATTCAAAGTAATTTTTTTTTTGTTAGAAGAAAAAATTTTAATATCTTTAAACAAAAAAGTTTTTAATATTTTATATAAGAAATATTTTTATGATAATAATTAAAAATATATGATTTCAAAGTAAAAATTTAAAGCATTTATTTTGATATTGCTGAAATAGACAATTAGCTCAAAGGCTAATTCTTTCTCCATGAAAGTAATTAATTTTTAAATTATTTTTATTCAAATTTTCAGATGAAAAGGAAAAAAAACTGATTTTCTTTTAATTATTATTTAGTATAATACAATTTATTTTTTTATTTTCATAATATACAGCATTCTTCTGTAATATAAATTCTTTATTTTTTGCTAAAATATTTTATTTAGAAATATAATAATGATAATATGCAATTATTATTTAACAGATATAATTTAAACTTTTAAAGAAAAACTATTTTAAATTGTTAATTATAAATATGCTTTAAACTGTTTTTTTTTTATTTTATGTTTAAAATTATTTTTTAAAATATCACTGTTATCACTAGCAAATATAAAAATTCTACTTTCACATTAAAAAAATGTTTTAATCAAATTTAATTAATATTTTATTAATAATTTTCTTGATTAAATTAAAATAATTATAATGTAATACCTATACTCATAATTGCCAGTTTCTACCCGATATAATGGTTCTTGTAATGCTTGATATGTATACTCTTCATCATCCATTTCCTTAACTTTAAGGCAATAAGACTAAAAAAAATATATATTTAATTATTTCTATTTTCCATAAATCTAACAATAAATAATAATGAAAATATAAACAAACTACTAACCAAATATTCAAATTTAGCATCTGCATATTTTTTAATGGTGAGTTTTGTATCAGGAACTGCTTTGGTAATGTAAGTTGCCAAATCAGTTAGCATCTAAATAGTGAAATTAAAATTAACTCACTCAGGAAAAAGATTCCTTTACTATAACTTTTAATATTGTCTTACTGGTCGAACAGTTCTTAACATTTTAATTCCATGTTTTTCCATATTTCTATGCGCTTTAGCAAATTTGCTAAATGCTTCGCTTGCTGATGGTTGAGGTTCTCTAACACCTATTTCAGCAAATACTTCACCAAAAGCTAAAAAAAATTAAACAAGAAAACACATAAATAATTCAATTTTAAACCAGAAAATCTAATAATTAATTCAAATTAAATCACATTAAAATTTATTGATATAAAATTAAGAAATTTCATTTATAGATATGGACAGTGAAAGAAAGCTATTTTTCAGATGAGCCAAAACATAATTTGTGAAATGGAGCAGACTCAGTAAGTACCACTAACTTTTTCCTACAAATAGTCCAGTATTGTTATTTTACTGCATTTTTGTAATACTGTTATCTGCTTAGATAAAATATTTTATTAGTTCTAGCAGTATATTACAAGGAAAGGTTTACATGGCCTCAAATGGCCTGGAAACATTCCAGGACATTTGAGTCCAGAGCAACCCCCTGCTTTAATGTGAGAATTTGCTTTATTAATGTTTTCTTTAAGGTGGGTTGACTGTACTATGAGATACATACACATACCTATATATGTTTCATTGACTTTCTTAAAAAAAAAAAAGGTACAATGACTTATATCTACAATATATCTATATATATCTACAATATATGTAGTACAATGTATCTACAATATATCTATAGTGGTGTTTAACAAAACTCCATCACTTTCATTTTTAATCTTATTCACATTTTTTAAACTATTTTATTGTTGAAAATTATTATTATTGTATATTAAAAGTTACTTACAAAAGTTTCTTATAAAAGAAGTGAATACAACTACATGCTAAAACATGGACAAAATAAGACTTAAACCCTATTGAAAATTGCTACAACTAAATGGGAACAACTGTTACAGACAAGAAGCAACACACATTGCCAATTTCAGTAAGCATTCATCTTTTAGCATAATTTGTCATTAGATTACATCAGATGTCTTATTTTGTCCATGCTTCAGCATGTAGTTGTATTCACTTCTTTTATAAGAAACTTTTGTAAGTAATTTTTAATATACAATAATAATAATTTTCAATAATAAAATAGTTTAAAAAATGTGAATAAGATTAAAAATGAAAGTGATGCAGTTTTATTAAACACCACTATAGATATATTGTAGATACATTGTACTACATATATTGTAGATATATATAGATATATTGTAGATATAAGTCATTGTACCTTTTTTTTTTTTAAGAAAGTCAATGAAACATATATAGGTATGTGTATGTATCTCATAGTACAGTCAACCCACCTTAAAGAAAACATTAATAAAGCAAATTCTCACATTAAAGCAGGGGGTTGCTCTGGACTCAAATGTCCTGGAATGTTTCCAGGCCATTTGAGGCCATGTAAACCTTTCCTTGTAATATACTGCTAGAACTAATAAAATATTTTATCTAAGCAGATAACAGTATTACAAAAATGCAGTAAAATAACAATACTGGACTATTTGTAGGAAAAAGTTAGTGGTACTTACTGAGTCTGCTCCATTTCACAAATTATGTTTTGGCTCATCTGAAAAATAGCTTTCTTTCACTGTCCATATCTATAAATGAAATTTCTTAATTTTATATCAATAAATTTTAATGTGATTTAATTTGAATTAATTATTAGATTTTCTGGTTTAAAATTGAATTATTTATGTGTTTTCTTGTTTAATTTTTTTTAGCTTTTGGTGAAGTATTTGCTGAAATAGGTGTTAGAGAACCTCAACCATCAGCAAGCGAAGCATTTAGCAAATTTGCTAAAGCGCATAGAAATATGGAAAAACATGGAATTAAAATGTTAAGAACTGTTCGACCAGTAAGACAATATTAAAAGTTATAGTAAAGGAATCTTTTTCCTGAGTGAGTTAATTTTAATTTCACTATTTAGATGCTAACTGATTTGGCAACTTACATTACCAAAGCAGTTCCTGATACAAAACTCACCATTAAAAAATATGCAGATGCTAAATTTGAATATTTGGTTAGTAGTTTGTTTATATTTTCATTATTATTTATTGTTAGATTTATGGAAAATAGAAATAATTAAATATATATTTTTTTTAGTCTTATTNATTTTCAATAATAAAATAGTTTAAAAAATGTGAATAAGATTAAAAATGAAAGTGATGCAGTTTTATTAAACACCACTATAGATATATTGTAGCTACATTGTACTACATATATTGTAGATATGAGGGTAGTCCCAGAAGTACCCGACCTAACAAAGAAGACATAAAATTTGGGAAAACATATCTTTATTTTTCAACATAGTCTCCTTTTAGGTCAATACACTTTTCCCAGCAATGCTCAATAGCTTTGATCCCCTGTTTATAGTGAGAACTGTCAAGCTTCTCAAAATAGTCATCAACCGCAGACTCTACCTTTTCATTGTTGGCAAATCTTTACCACCAAGCCATTTTTTCAAGTTTGGAAAGAGAAAATAATCCGAGAGGGCTAAATCTGGCGAATTGGGTGAGTAAGGAAGCAATTTGAACCTTAACTCACTGATCTTGTCCACCGCAATAACGAATGTGTGAACTGGTGCATTGTCTTGATAAAACAACACTACTTTTTGCCAAATGTAGCCATTTTTTCTTGATTTCATCATTCAAGCACTGCAATAAGTTCACATAATACTCGCTGTTGATTGTTTTCCTTTTTGAAGATAATCAATGAAAATTATCACATGCGCATCCCAAAAAACTGATGCCATGACCTTGCCAGCAGATGGAACTGTTTTCGCCTGCTTTGGAGCTGATTCTCCCCCTTCAGTCCATTGTTTTAACTGTTCTTTCGTCTCAGGTGTGAAGTGATGGACCCATGTTTCATCCATGGTTATGAATCAATGCAAAAACTCAGGTTTGTTGCTGCGAAACATTGCCAAACACTGGATTGAAACATCCTCATGACACTGTTTTTGTCCCATTGTGAGCAAACGTAGCACCCATCTTGCAAACAGCTTTTCATGTCCAAATTTTCAGTCAAAATGCAATGTACAGCACTTTTTGAAATGCCTACCATGTCTGCTAGCTCTTGCACTTTGAGTTGTCAGTCATCCAATACCAGTTTGTGGATTTTTTTCACCATTTCTGGCATGGTCACCTCACTTGGTTGACCACTGCAATGTTTGTCTTGGCAGCTCGTACAGCCTTGTCTATACTCTGCCAGCCAATATTTTATTGTTGTAAACGAGGGAGCAGACTCCCCCAGAGTAGAATCTAGCTCAGCTTTAATATTGGTTGGACTGAAATCTTTCAAATGAAAGTATTGTATCACATAATAATGATCAATTTTTTCCATGTTTACAAATTCACTGAGATTTTTCACTATTGATGGCCGTTTTTTTTGATTTCATCACTGCATTGTTTAGTATTTGATGAAATCAAATACTAAACAATGTAGCATCTTCAAACTTCAAACTTAAGCTTTATAAGGTTGATACTTTCGAACACAGTCATTTTCTTTCAAACAAGTACCACTACTATATGTCAAGTCGGGTACTTCTGGGACGACCCTTGTATATATAGATATATTGTAGATATAAGTCATTGTACCTTTTCTTTTAAGAAAGTCAATGAAACATATATAGGTTTATGTATGTATCTCATAGTACAGTCAACTCACCTTAAAGAAAACATCAATAAAGCAAATTCTCACATTAAAGCAGGGGGTTGCTCTGGAAAATTTAAAAATATCCCCACCATTTCACCAGTTTTAAATTTTTTTTGCCACTTCAAATTATTTACTGCCAACAGTTTTACTTTCTAATTAATGCAGCTGCTGGTGGGTGGCCTTATCAGTTTGGCATCTGGAAATCAAATCATTTAAGCTGTCACTTACAAGGGAGAGGACCAGACAGTTAGGTCTCCGATTTAAACAAAACTTGGTGACCATGTAGCTTTAAACAAAACAGTTCCTTGATCAAATATTAGGATCCACTTCTCAAGCATTTCCTAAAATTTGGTCTCTAAAAATTGAGGTTTCACTTATAAGTCTGAAAATTTCATGTGTCTGAGCGGCGATAGCTGAGTGGATAAGATGCTAGGCAGTGGAGCTACCCAATGGAAGTTTGAATCTTTGGAATTTTAGTTCAGTTTTGTTTAATTTTAAAAATTATTTAGAATTTGTTTTTGTTGTTAATTCAAAATACAATATATTATATTTTAAAGATTTTGATCATGTGTTAAGCCTTAACTTCATAAATTATACAACCTTGACCTTGACCCTGAAAAACATTAATATGAATTTTCAATAAAGTAAATTTACTGCTTCCCTAGTAATTCGTATTAATGCTAGTTGACTGTACATTGTGTGAATAAAGAACACAACAGATAAACTATTGTGTAAAATAATAACACTTAATATATCTCATTATAAATAATTATTTTCATAACTAATATATTAAAAAATAAAACTTAATGTACATTTAAAAAACAATCTACACACAATAAAACTTAATTAAAAGTATTTACTTCACCTCTATAAACTTCACACATATCATAAAACTTCTTTAACATTTGTTTAGTATGGGTTGCAAGTCCTTTGTATAAATGTTCATTTCTTTCTAATTCTTCTAATTTCTTAACTAAGTTATCTAAAAAAATAATTTAAAGTATTTGTTAATATTTTAAAACTAATTAAAACTTAGAAGAAATTCTTGATACTGTATAGGAAAAAACATAACATTCTATTTAAGATATTTCTTAAATAATTTTAAGCAATTAACATACTTAACATGCTTATATAAAAAACTTTCATTCAGTTTTATCTAATAATAAACATTATACAGAGATGACTTATTTGAGGCATAACCTCAAATAAGTTTATTTGAGACATAATCTGTTAAGATAATCTGTTATTTGAGGCTATGCCTCAAATAACAGATTATCTTTGTAAATAAAGATTTCTGTTTTTTTAGTTTGTCAATAGTGACTGGGAAACAACAGACAAAGCTTTTTGTATTTTTCAAAATATTTTTTTTATTATGTGAATTTCAGTTGGCCATTTTTTAACAAACAATATTTTATTTTCATTGAATAAAAGCTTAACATTCTGCAAATATCCATGATTAAATGATGAAAGAAAGCCTATCAGTATTAATAAAAAATAAAGTTTCATAATCATTTTAAAAACAAAAACATTTGATTCCTAGTGGTAACTACATAGTTTCTGAATCTTTACTGATAATATGAAATTTTTATTATAGTTATCATCTCAGATAGCAAATTAATACATTTTTCTGTAGGTCAGTATCTGCATTATGATTTAAAAACTATTCTGATTATTCTAAAATTTACATATAATTAAACATTTAGCCCTAAATTAATTTATATAAACAACCAAGCCCAGATTACAACTATAATAAAATGAACTTCAGTTATACAGTCTAGCTAATTACTATATTTTCACTCCCACCTACTGGTATGAAAGTTTAACTGGCTGAAGCCATGAAGGTCATGGATATAAAGTCACCTTACTCATAGTGGCAAGTGTTTGTTTATCTCTCTCATGGAAGCAAAAATCAGATGGAAATCTGGGTAATATAATTTGATAAATCACCTGCATGGTAAGCAGCATTACATGTTTGGGTCCTAATCCAAATTGATCTTTTTTTCCAAAATAGTTTAATAAATACACCAATTTTAAATTAAAAAAATAATTTAAGTTTAATTTAAGTTGATTGCCAAAAATAATGAAAATTTTGAAAATATGTTACATGAAATTTATCATAATTCACTTCAGAAATCAATGGGAGAGTCAAATACCAAAGTTTGACTTTCCTACATATCAGCAAGAAAACCACGTTGTAACAAAAATCTAAGCCCTAATTCTACAGTAACATTAAATATAAACATGCATATTCTTACCATTACACAAAATTGCTCTGCTTAAACCAAGAGCATCTGCAGTAGTAGAACTCATATTTTCAACAATGCGATGCTTAACAGTTTTCAAAACTTAAGAGAGAAAATTATTATTATAATGAGAAATCAAAATGTGTGTTAAGAAATTATATAAAATAATTTTGTCATTAATTCTAGAATTATTCATTATAGTATATTTAAAGACATAATTATATTGGATATACAGTATAATATATAAAAACTTTAGGTTATTTTTTTCTTATTTTAAGTTTGTAAAAAACTTTAAAATTAAAGCAAGTGTTGTGGCAAACTTCAAAAAGATATTGATTTTTTTCTTATTGTATCAGATTCAATAACTTTAAATCTCATTTTGGACAAATTTATTTATTTAAAAACAAAAATATTTTAAAACTAAGCAAATAAATTAATGCAAAAATAGTATCTCATATATGTGTAAAAAAAAGTAAATGCACATAGTTATAAAATAAAAACTAATTTCATCTCTTTTAGGAAACAAATTTAATTATGTATTATGAACAATAACAAATTTTCAATGTAAGTTTATGTTAATATTATATTCCTATTAATAACTTAAATATGCATCATTATGTTTTAAATCTAATATAAAATTGATTTATAAATGATAAAAACATTACATTTTTAAATTAGATAAATTTTGTTCAGTCAAAAAAGTATTTATGATTTAAACATTATAATTATAATGTTAAAACAGTTAACAAGAGATTCAAATATGGAATACAAATCTTTAAAGAAATCAATCAATTCTAAAAAATTTCAAATCTTACCAATATCCAATGATTTTCCTTGCTTTGGATCAGCATGTAATTTATTATAATTTATTGTCACTTGCTCCTGAAATTTAAAAAAGAAAATTTTATTGATAATGTTAAGCAGTTTTGAAATTTCAATTCTCATTTACATTTATACACTTATATCAATAATATTAATAAAAGTATTAACTGCTCCAACCTTCACTATCTTCAATAATCCAACCCAAGTGTTTTGCATCACTACATTTCTGTGTTCAATTTGTATAAAAACTTTTTGTATAAACAGTATTAGTTATACAGTATATACAGTGAAAACACAAACATTACACCAAGCTGTATCTTGCATCTGCTGCATAACTTAATTACTGAATGCAATTGCACTGGAGTATAGGTAATCAGTAATAAGTATTCATTAGTTTAAACACTGTCACTTTTCATCCTCCTTTACATGAAGTAATTGTAATTTGAGGATGAGAATTTTGTACACTATGCCATTAACTTTCATAGGACCTGCATGCAGATCCTCTCAGGCAGAGCCAGGACAAGAGTGAGGCCAACAAGGCACTTGTCTCACTTAAACAATGGGGGGTTTTTGTACATATGTTCTGTTGTTCCCACTGAGAAAAAGTGGACCCAATGTTTTGTCAACATTTCGTTATCCTTCCCCCCTATACCAACAGGGTTTGTACACGCAATTGTTCAAAGGCCTGTAGCTATGCTGCTGCTGTTTAGAGTTTCCATGTTTTACACTCCCTGGTTGTGGAGATCTTGTTGTACATGTCTCGTTCTGTTTGTTCCCTCCTCCAAAGCCAGGAGGTTGTTTTCTTGTTCCGTCAATCCCTCCTGTTGTTCTGTTTTTTTTTATTTTTATTTTTACATTTGTAATTGGAAGCCCGTAGCCAAGCGGCTGTGTTAGGCTTCTAAGTCTTACTCACCCCCAATTGGTGGTGTTTTGTAACACGAACTTTTTCAGTTTGTTATACACTTTCTTTTATTTTTGTTTTGTACATATGCAGTTGTAATTTTGGAGCCCATGGTCACTTGGCCATGCAGAAAGGGCCTCTACTGCCTCTGATATAGAGGTTGTTATTCTGAAATTATGTTGCTACACTCAGTAATCTAATTGTATTTTTGGTTTGTTTAATTAATGGCACTCGGTGGACATTCTGAGATCTTATGCTTCACACTTTCCTGTCATCCTTTCTTTTTCTTCAACCTTCTCACTTCTGCTATAACTCTTCATCCTTCTCTTCCAAGGCTATATAGACTTGTCAAGGCCTCCTAATCCTTTAGTAGTAGTACTGGTGGTAGTAGTTAAACAATGGGAAAAAGTACTAAATTGGTGAAAAATGACAATTAATAAATTGCAAAATAAAAAACAAGTGTATCAAGCGAGAGCATCTGATGCAAATTGTTAGTGCACTTAAAGTATTTGACAAACATTGCAGGATACATTTATCTTGCAATGTTCATCAAATACTTTAAGTGCACTAACAATTTCTGTCATAAGATTTCACTCGATACACTTGTTTCCTCATATGATTTCACCCTAGTAAACAATATGGTATGAATATGTCTAAACTCATGTACTCGCTTGGGCGCACTTGATTGTTAGTATCAAGTGAGAGTGCCCAAACGAGTACACAAGTTTGGGCAAGTTTATTGTACATTAAAGTTCATTATTTGTGCAGTGTGCTAGTATAACAGTAAGCAGAAGATATTATTTTAAATGTGTTAAACTTAAGGTAATATCTCTACTATATAAATTTGTAAAAATGTTTCATTGTATGTTACATTATATTACAACTGCAATATTATTTTCCATTTTTGTTTGTAATATAATCAAAAGTGAAAAAAATAAATATATAACTTTTTCTTTTTCAGATGAACTAATGGTGTCAAGAAAGCCCAGTGGTACTGAATATAGGAAAAGAAGAAAATTGAGAAATGAAACAAATCAATATAGTGTAATACAGTTGCAAACTTGGCTAGAAAAACAGAGTACTTCAAATACAAGCAGTTCTCTCAAGACAATACTGATTGAGGCTCAAGAAAAGATGATTGAATTTGAAGAAAACAGTACCCTTGAAGATCAAGAAAAAGGCAAATAAGTTGAAGAAGAAATTGAAATACAAGAAAGTTTGACAAAACAAGAAAAAGAAGTATTTAATTGTATTAATTTCAAAGATCCTCCTTTGTGGCCACCTACAGAGCCGGCCCTACCATAGGGCGAATGGAGCAGCCGCTCCAGGCGCTAAGTTTTAGGGGGCGCCTCAGCGGTAAAAAAATTAAAGGAAAAAATATTTTTTTTTCACTTTTCGATATTTTAATTGCAAGCGTGTGGCCAGTATGTGAATGACCTTATCTGTTGAGACGTGCGTAGGTTGAGTGCGTGGGCAAGGTTCCACCCCCGGGCACCATAATAGGATCTCGCGCCATCCTAAAACTTGCCTTGGGCCGGCACTGGCCACCTATTACACAAGTCTGCGATGAAAATATTTCCTGAAAACTAAGCATTGTTGCTGATGTATTTTTGGACGCTGATTTCAGAAAAAAATAACCAAAAAATTCCATTACATACAGTTTTTTCACAATATGAAATTTTCGGTTTTCAGTCTTTGTGTTTTTATGAATATATAATTAACATGTAATTTATTTTTGTTCACCTGCTAAAATTCATTAATATATATATATATCTTATTTATTTTTGTTATTTTATAATAAACAATTAATAAAATCAATACATGTTCGATACACATAAATAAATAAATTAATTAATTAATGAAATAGTGTAGACAATGAGGTGAAGTTCATTCATTCTGTCACTTCCACAAATTGTACAAAGTATGCTTGAAAATTTCAAAAAATTAGGATATTCCGTCAGCTTAAAAATTCATTTCCTGATGTGTCATCTGGACTATTTTCCTGAAAATCTTGGTGCTGTCAGCAAGGAACAAAACTTCTTACTTATTACTTTGTTTTACTTCCTAGAAATGTATTTACATGGTATATAAATCATTATTTTTCTAAATTTTCAAATGCAATTTTCAAAAAAACTGTTACGTGATGGACAAAAACAAATGGTATATTTGAAACTGGCATACCAAAAAACATAAAAGTCAATTGCTACTTTGTTAGGGAATCTACTTCAGAGTACGACAGAAGATTTTCAAAAGAATGATCTTTTTTTTAATTTTCCAATGGAGAGAGAGTCCATCATGACTGGCTCATTTTTTCAAAAATATCTGTCAATATTTTGTTTTCCATGTATCCTTTTTGGTAGAGGTAAAACGAATTCTGACATCTGCAATCAAAGCTGAGGATATAAAGATTGGGAAAATCTAAATCAAATTTCCAATCATGAAAATTCTGAATTTCATCATGATGCATATCTCCATTGGAAATTCTTTGGAAAAAAACTTAAACTGGTGATTTTATAGATGATTTGTTGCAATAAGCAATACAGACAGAAAAGGAAAGATGGTAAAATATTTTACATGTTGCTTTGGATGTAATTTTATTTTGTACAAAAAAAAAATTTCTCTCTTAGAGGTATGCAAAAATTTATTGGTAATTCAAATGTAGGAAATTTTCTAAAGTTGATTGAATTAATAAGCCAATATTATATGACCATCACAGAACATGTTGCTAATCATAAGAAGTGATCCGTTTCATACTTATCTAATATGATTCAAGACAAATTTCTTTTACTCTTACAAAACCATATTCAAACTGAAATTCTTTCTAGAATTAAACAATCGAAATACTTTTCCTCAGTCAAGACGAGTACAAAAACATTCTTGTTCAGTTAAAATACCCAAAGGGAAAGTAGCTGGGCATCACTCATTCAAAACATTTTGTTCTGGTTTATCTGTTTATTACATAGCAGATACAAGATACAACTTGGTGCAATGTTTGTATTTTCACCTTATATACATAAGATGAAAATATATATGTTACTGTGAATGACTGATATCTGGCGAATGTCAGCATTCACACAGTCGTTTCATGTATGTATGAAATATTTGCTAAATATCATTATTTCTCACACTGACAAATGTCGACATTCAGCATGCACTGAGGGAGAATGTTAAATAAAAATATTTTTATTACATTAAGACAAAAATGCAACATTTTAATATGTGAAAATTTACTATGTGAATAATATGTGAACTGTTGACGGAAAAAGAGCTATGACCTTGTCCTACCTTCGGCTATCCACAAAATATTTGGCAACAAACTGTCGCCTCTCTGTCAACCCGAGCCAGATCCAATAGGTGCGAGGCCCAATTGAATTTTTTTTGCAGGGCCCCTCAAACTTTAATAACAAAATTAATTAACAGTTAATTTACATATTGAAATATGTTATTATATTTTTAATAATAATATACCTAGATATTTATTTTTGTCACATGTATTATTTTTAAATATATAAATTTTGATGTGCTGCAGGGCCCCTTCAAGCAAGGGGCCTGATTGGCACAAATCGCTCCAATCGCCTAAAATCTGGCTCTGCTGTCAACATCGGCTTCTCGGGTGTCATTTCGACCTCCACCAAAGCTTATCTGTGCTTGTTGACACACACTGGTGATTGTTCGAATGTATAATAATATAACCAAATATTCGGACTTTCACCGATGTATTTTGTATGTGTCAACATTCACTGGAGAATATCGACATTCTCTAATTTCAGTCTTTCACAGTAACATATATACATACACACACACACTCATTCTGATAAAAATTAGCACACCAAAAAGGAGTTAGAGAAGGAGCACANCATTATAATTATATATCACTACTTTAACTATATTACTTTTATTTACAATTCTGCCATCATAGACTATTAATATATCATGTAGATACCAAATATATGCAACAATACTTTCTATCTCTAACAAGTACTAGTTGAAACAAAATAACAATATGAATTATTTAGATACAAAAAAATAATACAAAAACAAGGATTTGATAGTTTCAAAATATGAAAAAAATGTAATATTAAAAATATGTAAGTATTATTCTTATTATTTCTTGGATCTACAGAGCTCTTAACATGTAACTTTGAAAAAAAGTTGATAAAGACCAGAAAATCTTACAACCAAAATATTTGTCAAAATGTTGTGGTTTTGACAATTTTGATCTATTAGATTAAATACATCAATTATTGTCTTTAACATTTTTGGACTTCAATATAGTAATTAATTTTTAAAGAAACACAATAATTAAGAAATAAATAAATACAAACAAACACAACAAAACTTAATCTAACTGTAGCATACATACATCCTATCACCTTTTGGTGGTCATTTGTATTAATAAAGGGTATAAAGTGCCAACTAAATTCTGTCAAAATCTCCAATAGTCTGTTAAATAATCCAGTGGATCCTTTGACAACAATAGTTACAATGAACATTTAGTTCCAACACAAGAAAACTTAAAGAACAAATTAATAGAAGTATAGATAACTCTCACCAATATATATATATACTTTTACATTTTCATAAATGTAAAAGTATATATTGATGAGACTTTGTAGAAAATTAAAACAGTGAAAGAACAAACTTATGATATTCTCAACATAATTCAGCATTTTTTAGCACTAACTTATTTTAAATGGCTGTAATATTGATGATGATTACATAAAACTTTTAAATAAAGAGAAAGATGGTACAAAACAAAATCCAATGTGCATAGATTTTGCAGGCACCCAATTAAACATAAAAAATACATTAAAAATATTTTTTTGAATATTATAGTGGACAAGTAAGCTCTAATAAAAGGTTGACTTCATTAAGAAAAAGACAGTTTTGTTCCTGAGATGTGTAAAAGGACATAATGAATATGTTTATAGTTTTTACTATTTTTTAAATTTTTTTAGACTTCTATTTAAAAGTACCAAAACACCGGTTTATTAATATTTGCATTAAATAGTTGTAATTAAAATTAAAGATTTCATTAAAAAATTGTCTGTGTAACAAGTACCTATACTTATAAGTATTAAGTCCTTTGCATGCAATATTGTTAAAGTGTTAAGTGTCATGATGCAATGATACTTATGAAAAAAATTTTAAATTCTAGAATTATGCTATAAGATTTTAAGAAAGTTTTTCATCAAACAATTATAAATAATATGTTCTTGAACTTTTAATGGTTATTGGATACGAGGGCAGGCTGAAAAGTAATGCACACATGCTTGTAGAGCACAAACGAAATTATTTTCAGAAGCGTGCCAGGTGGCATATGGAAATAACATTCCCCACTATGTGCATGCACAGTTTGAGGTTGTTGCGTTCATTCAGTAAATTTTGAGAAGCAGAAATATGGAGACATGTTCTAGTGCTATGTCAACGCGAGTTAAACAGCGTGCTGTTATCAAATTTTTAACTGCTGAAAAAATTATGTTTAAAGGCTGTTTATGGTGATGATGCTGTTGATAGGTCTATTGTTAATTGATGGATAATAAAATTTCGTGGTTGTGAGCCTGGAAAAGCCATAATTGTTGATGAAACATGCAGCAGAAGTCCGATCACTGCCACAGACAATTACTGTTGCACCTTGTTGCAATGTTTAATTCTTCTCAGTACATACAGACTCTAAAACACCTCTGATGTTGAGTTTGTCATGTTAGAGGCAGCCTGATACCAATAATCTTGCAACATGACAACGCTCGTCCACACACCTTGAGCGCAACTGGAGAGGCTCTGTGAAACCTGAAGTTTGAACCGATTCCACACCCTCCTTATTCCCCCAATTTTGCACCTTGTGAATTTTATTTGTTTCATCTACTTAAGAGAGACCACAAGGGTAATCATTATACCTCAGATGATGAGGTGAAGGCAGCTGTCAAGTCCTGGATTCGAGAAAAGTTGAAAGAATTTTTCAGTGACAGAATGAAAAAACTTGTTACACATTGGGAGAAATGTATTAGTCATTATTAAGGATATGTTGAAAAATAAATATATGATTTTGAAGCTTGAGAATTGTACTTTAATGTACTTTTTGCCGGATCTTGCTATTTGTTTTTGTTCATGTTCTGCAAGCATGTGTGCATTACTTTTCAGCCTGCCCTGGTATAATTAATACATCTTAAAGTTAGACATTTTTTAGTTATTTAACATGTCCTCTTAAAATCAGAGTCAATAAAAACAGGATTTCCACTAGCTGTAGATGCATCCCAAAGTGATTACCACTTTTGGGACTCACCTACAGTTAATGGAAATTCTACTGTATGTATGAGATATGTGTGTCACTGATTATGAAAATGGTCTAAATCAAAAATGGGAAAATATTGAACTTATTTCACAAGCTTCTTGTAAAATTTTACAATTACATAAAAAAAACCTATTTTGCAAGAGTAAATATATTTGTGCTTTCTTTTTCATTATCAAAAAATATATTTTGGGTTTTGAATTTATAAAAATTAAAAATATAACTCCAAATAAAAAATGATTTAGGCCATTTTCATAATCACCAGTACATTTGTGAATAGTAGATAAAGTAGATAAAGCTGAAAAATATATTCAATAATGTTTATAAATTTTACAATTGAAAGGCTCAAGAAATACAAGTTTTTAAATATTTGTTTATCTTTTAATTGGCAATAGTTAAAAATTGATTAAAAATACCTTAACTGCTTGTATCATTTTTGCAACTTCAACTTTAGTTTTGCCTTTCACAGATGTTGAATTAACACCAACAATTTCATCTCCAGATTGAAGGGTACCATCTCTGGAAGCTGGTGTATTATCAAATACTTGAACAACATATAAACATGGGCAATAAGGTGCTCCACCACCAATACTAATACCTATCAAATTACTGTCATCTTTCTTAATTGTCACATTTCCTGAGGTAATAGTCATACCCCTAAAATATAAAACATTAAAAGTACAATTATGATAAAGTTAATATAATAAAATTAAGTTTTTCATTAAAAAATTTACAAAATTATTTTAAAAATTTTCAGTACCTGTTAATTATTTAATCATCATTTTGTTTTAAACATTTACTGAAAATTTGTAAAATATTCAAAAAAGTTCATTTGTTCCATCACATTTGAAAATACAGTAGAGCGTCAATTTTCCGAAAGTCAATCATCCGAAAGAATTCCAGTCGGCAAATTTAAATTTTCGCCAGTGCTGTGGCACTGTAATCTTCGGCTATGTCTTGGGCTACTCAAATATTTTACGTTTTTGATACTAAATTAACATCTGAAGTATAATTTTTTATTGTTTAACGATACAATAATCTTTGTTAGGCTTAACATCGACGAAAATTCAACGCGAAGCGACATGCAACTGAGAAAAATTTCAACATCGGATACGTTAAACTATTTTTTCGTACATAAATCGGTTATCCGAAATATCAGTTATACGAACAACCCCAGTCCCCAATTGATTCGGAAAATCGACGCTCTACTGTATTAACATTATGTTGAGTTTTTAACTATGTTTGAAGAGATTGAACTGAATTAAGCTCAAAAAACATTTAATATATTTAAATAAGAAGAAATTTTTAATCAATTAATGATTTTATACAAAAGTAAAGGTATGTGGTCAAAAATAAACAAAGTTCAATATTTAAAGCTAATAATAATTTTGTTCATTCTTTGAAGAGTTTATTTTTTGTTATATAATTCTTAAAACATATTTATTTGTGTATTTTTTTTCTATATATCAATTAAGTTTATAAGAAAATAAATACAGTCGCAAAGACCATATTGTCAACTGTATTACTTATAATTTTTAAAACATCTCTCTAATTTTAATTCCAAGTACTTAATATACTTGGATAAACTTTAATAACTAATTTAAAATTCAAGTTTTTAAATTCAAAAACTAACTGCTTCAGTAAATCACTCAATAAACTACATACAACCTTGTACAGCAGCAAAATTGTTAGCTTTTCCAAATTGTTTGATATCTGAATAACAAATCTGATGATAATTAAAAATGACCAAAAATGTTACTTTAATAAACATTTTAGCTGTTGTACAATAACAAATTTTATTATGTGATGATAATATTCTTACAATTACTACTAGAAAATTATCTTCTTATAATTATCAATTTCTTTAACAATTCAAATTATATTTTTTATAATTTCAAAAATATATTAGGAAATTTTCTTAGTTTGATTTTGGATTCAATACTTTTCCTTCTCATCTAGAATGATATATTATCATATGTAGGATCAGCAAGGTTTACAACTTGTTTACCTCTTTTTGATGGAATTTATTTCTGAGCAAATGTATGCTACTTACCAAAATATTCTAGGCATGTCACTCAATATAAAATAAATTCTCCAAATAATCAAAAAAATAGTACAAGTTTAAGTTCATAATAACAAAATTAAACTAGTATTGACAAGAAACAGCTTTTCCCAAGCTAAAAATTTTGCAATTTTTAATTAAATCAGTACTGATATAATTAAAAATTGCAACATTTCACCTTAGAAATTTTTACAATAATCAGTGTGCATTTACTAATGCAAAAATAATATATGTAAATTATTTATAAAATATGTGTACAGTAAAATGCAAATTATATGTATTATATTTATAGTATTAAACATTCTTTTATGTTGAAATATACTTCTATTTTAAATAAAGTTTTGGAAGTAACTGGTAAACAGTTGTATCATAAACTTTGAAATTAGAAAAGAAAGAAATGTTGATCTACAGCAAAGTATATTTTAATTTCATAAAAGAAAAATGCAAAAATAAATTTGTTACACAACTTTCTCTTTAAAATTAAATACAGTTTTAATAATAATTTTAAATAATTGGCTTTATAATACAGTTTCTAACTGGTGACATAAATAACAAATTTCTTTTTTAAAGTAAAATTGCAGATCAATATTTGATTCATAATTTATGTTTATTTTAAAAAACTTTCATTTAATATATAATATCAAGCACTTCATTTGATTTTATTTTTATTTTATATATTAATTAATTAAAATGTACAATTATTTAAAATTTTCATAGCTGCAATGTAAAAAAAGATGTCACTTTATTATTTCTAACAATCACAAGAAAATTAAATTTGCTTTGCTTAGTCATAACAAATTTAATAGATAACATACCAAAATTAATAATCAAAATCTAAATTTAACTTTATATAACTTTTAAGATAAATGAGACTTAATATCAACTAGTTTTATAAAAAATTACAAAAAGTATTGAAAAATAAACAAATATAAATTGCACTATTACAATTCATTATATATAATTGATAAAATTATTATAATGAATTAACCGGCATAATAAAAGCAAACTTAAAAAGTTAAAATTTAAGCAAAACATAATAAGTAAAAGATAAAAATAAACAAACATACATGCGATCTTCAAACAATTCCGATTGTGCATACATATCATCCAAGTCTATAGTGGATAATAAATGATACTGATATCTTGGATCACCAAACATTTTCAATGTGTGTCTCTACTAAGCATTTAAAATAGCACGGAATTACTGCATATAAAAATTAATAAACAAACAAACTGAATTAAAGAAATATTTAATAAAATAAAAATAAAATTACTTAGAAATGATAACAAATATCTCAAATAAATAAATAAATAAAAAAGTGAGAACTTATAAATAATAATATAATCTAATTAGCTAACAAACAATCATTTGTTAAGAAATTAGATTTAAAAATAAATATATTATTCTAAACTGTTTGAAATGTTTTTATTAGGATATTTTTTATTTAATATTATATATAATATTAATTGATATAACAAGTCTCATATTGGTCCCTTGATACTAATATACAAATCCTTTATAAACTTTATATTATGTAATTTTTTGAGAAAGTGCTAATATATTATTTGTTATTTTTTCTATGAGTGAAAATCTTCATATTTATCTTTACACCACACACACAAAATAGAATCAAAAATAAATGCAGAATGAATTACAATTTTATTCTGAGAGCAGATACAATAAATTACAATACATTTCCTTCAAAATGATGATATCACACACATTTGCCAATAGTCATGCCATAACCAGGAACAGTCCTGGAAACCACTAATGAGACAAAGGAGAGGTAGTGAAACATACAGCCCATTGCTAGAATTTATCAAGAAAATTCCTTGGCACATACATGCATTCTATGGACTTTATGTATTCAAATAGATATATGAGGTTTGTTTGTTTTTCTAATTAAAGCACTAGATTTGTCAGTCTTCACCACAATAATGTCATTTCTTGTTAACCAACTCTTTCTTACCTTCATATTAGTACAAATTATATGGCTTTGGTACTGAACATGATGTTTGCATATCTTCATCATAGTTCTTCATCTATAGCAGTGGTTCTTAACCTTTTTATACTCGCAGCCCACCAAATATTTCATAATTTTTTTGTGACCCCCATTTTTTAAATAATTTATTGGTTTCATTGCTTCATTGGAGAGAACTACAATGAAATTTCTTGAACTTCTATGCTTACGAACCCATATTTGATATAATCACGATCGTATTTTCTAATTTTAATGTTACTTAATTTTATACCTTCAGTTTTAGGACTTGTGTTTATTCCCTTACATTTTTCACTGTATCATCATCGGAACTTTCACTAGTATTTTCTTTTTGAAGATCCTGATCCACGATTACTTACATTATAAACATTTTCTAATGTTCCTTTCTGTTTTTTGCTCATTTTTATGGGTTAATTATAAATAAATAAAACTAAACACACAATATAAGAAAGAAATGCACTATTATTCGATCCAAAGTCGATACTAAAACTAAACTAAAACTAAAACACCCACAACTTGTAAAGATTTTACATATCTTTTGCAAAAACATTTAAATTTTCAAAGCCTACTATTTTTCCTAATTATTTTTAAAATTCCAAGCATTAATAGTTTCTTAAAATTACTTTGGAATAAAAGTAGTAAATACTGCAGTGTAAATAGCATATTTACATTTATTTCTTCTGTACTAACAAAGTTGTATATAGGAAGAAATAAATAAATAAATAAAAAACTAAATACAAAAAATTTATCTTTCTTATTTCACTTTTCAATACAATATTCAGTTATACATGAATTTTCTTTTTATTATATTCTGAAGGAAATTTTGCATAATTTGGAGGCCCCTGGCAAACTTCTTATGGACCCCCAGGAGGCCGCAGCCCCCCTGTTAAGAAACACTGATCTATAGATCTATAGCGCCCACAGACTATGAAAAAAAAAGGGGCACAAGCTATAAGAAAAGGCATCATACATTATGTAAGGAGCTTCAAACTTTATGATTCAATGTCGGATCAGTGCTCCACAAGATGGTGCCAGTTGAATTGGGGGTTACTTGACCTTGAAAAGAAGGAATGGGGTTTTGGTCAACATATGATGAAGTTTCATGGGTCAATGGACAAATATTGTTCATTAGTTTCTTTTATATTTGCAGAGTAGGCTAGAAGTCATGAATTTTCTGTTGTTTATGATCCTCTTGGGGATTATGAAAAAGGCAACTGAGATAAAAGGTGGGCACATGTCCCAATGTACAGGCATCACTGTATAGAAATCTTTGTACTCTGTTACATTCTCCATATCTAGTAAAACTCACTCTGGCCTAATATTTGGTAGTGGAGGTACATACATTGGACCAAATTTCATAGTTTCTATGGCATACTCTGTGGGAAATATGCCCCAACAAACAATATTGCCACCTATGCTATTGAATTTAGTTTTCTTCTGCTTCCAAAATATCCAATGAAGCTTTCTTATGTATTGTTTTCTCAAATTATCTGCTATTCATGTCTTGGCTGATGTCAGCCAAAGTATGCAGGTTCTATTGATATGTGAATAAGCTATCTCTAGGCAAATAAGTTCACATGTAAAGGCAAATTATAATATATAAACATCCCAAAGCCCCATATTTTAGTAATATGCCAAACAATTGCCACATTAAATCAAGCTACTGTACTGCTATTATTTAGAATTTAATTAAAAATAATTTGATACTAGAGTAAGGAAGAGTTGCAGGTTTGAGTCCCACTCCAAGTCATACTTTTCTTGCAAAATATTCAAAATTATTTCATTATAATTATTAAATTTCATAAGAGATTGCACTTAACACCTATCTCTAGTATCAAATTATTTGGAATTTCATTAAAAATAATAGTGGTAAAGTAGTCCGATTTAATCCAGCAATCGTTTGGCATATTAAGGACAAATTTTTAAAACCTGACATTCACAAACACACTTTAAACAACCTTTAAAGTCCAGTAACAAAAGTTTTTTATTAAAAACTTTTGAAAAATGTTTTTCACCTTGACCAAGGTCTGTCTCAGGTCTTTAATGAAATTCCAAATTTTTCAAAATATTATTTTTAAAAATTGGAATTTATATGTGTGTTAGCTTTATTTATGTATGCATTAAATTTTAATTAAAATGAAAGTTTCTTCTCCAGTTCTTTTGTTTTACTCACTACTCTATTTATCAATACTTAGATTGTAAAAATTAATTAACTACAGTAGAGCGTCGTTTATCCAAATCAATTAGGGACTGGGGTTGTTCGGATAACTTATTTTTCAGATAACCAATTATGTACGAAAAAATATATTAATTTATCCCATGTTGAAATTTTTCTCCGTTGCATGTCGCTTTGCGTTGAAGTTTCGTCTATGTTAAGCCTAACAAACACTATTGTATCATTAAAAATTATTTTTTTATTTTGTACAAACAAAATAAATATATTGAAAAATATAAAAACAATAAAAAATTATACTTCAGAAGTTAATTTAGTATCAAAAACGTAAAATATTTAAGTAGCCGAAGACATAGCCAAAGCTGCGCGACAGCACTGGCGAAAATTTAAATTTGGCGACTGGAATTCCTTTGGATAACCGACGTTTCGGATAAACGATGCTCTACTGTACTTTAATTATAAAATAAATAATGTATTTTTTTTAAAACCCCACCCTTTTCCAAATTCTACATACAGGTCAAACAGGCCTGATAACAAAAAATTATTTCAACAATTTGTTATCATCCATCCTGATGAAAATATAATTTAAAATTTTTTCTGAACAATCAAAGCACCAAGTTAAATACATAGCCAAATGATCACCTTAAATACTTGGGCTATAAATCTGCTATTTTTAAATAATTAGTAATAAGTAATTTGCTACTAGAGGTAGCCATTTAGGTGCCATTTCTTATCTAAATTAATAATTATATGTTAAGATGAATAGTTAATTTATCATCATTTCTGTAAAGAAAAAGATTGATGATAAAATTGATTCACATATTTAACTTATCACTTGTCAGTCCACTATAAATTTCTTTTTATAATAAATGTTAAAAATCATATTCCCATTTGCAAATAATATTCAGCTATAATAAAAATATGAGAATAATGAAAATCTTGTTTGCTATTTATATTAATACTTACTTTCAGAGATTTCAATTATTCTCATATTTTTATTATAACTGAATATTGTTTGCAAATGGGAATATGATTTTTAACATTTATTATAAAAAGAAATTTATAGTGGACTGGCAAATAAGTTAAATAAGAGGCGTGTCCGGAAAGTAAGTACCGTTTTATTTTACCGCCACCGCAGAGGTAGTATCGCAGTTCAGCACCTGTGCACACGTGTCTCTGGTTGATTGTCAGTCCAGTGACGCCATTAGAACCAGATTGTGATGTTTTTCCATGTGTTAATGAGCATTCAAAATGTTTAAGACGATTGCCGATCCCACCGACTGTGAAGTGCGTTCTGTAATACGGTTTTTGAACGCAAAGAATGTTAAACCAGTTGAAATTCATCGTCAACTTGTAGAGATTTATGGTGAAAATGCAATGAGTGATGGAATTGTGAGAAAGTGGGTTCAACAATTCAATGCTGGATGTACCAATGTTCATGACGAAGCACGGAGTGGCCGGCCTTCTGCTGTCAATGATGATTTGGTTGCAAAAGTGAATGAGAAAATTCTTGAAAACAGACGATTCACAATAAGATTGCTTTGTGATGAGTTTCCACAAATTTCAAAAATTGTTTTGCATGAGATTGTCACAAATCAATGTTCAGCAGTGGTTGTCTTCACTGGCGACATCTTTCTTTGAAGAGGGTATAGACAAGTTGGTTTCCCAATATGACAAATGTCTGAACAATAGTGGTAACTAAGTAGAAAAATAGTTTCCAACATGCTCTTTCATGTAAAAATAAATTTTGTTTTGAAAAAAGATTTTTTATGCGAGTTTTTCCAAAACGGTACTTACTTTCCGGACATGCCTCGTATGTCAATCAATTTTATCATCATCAACCCTTTTCCTTACAGAAATTATAAAAATAAATTAACTATCCATCTTAATGTGATGATTTGATACTTTGATTGTTCAGAAAAATTTTAAATTATGATTTAAAATATGAAACCTGAATAAGTTAACAAATTTGTTAATTTGTTTTTGCACAACTAAAATATTTTAGAATAAACAGTATATTTATACATATTAATCTATTTTCAAACTAAATACTAAAGTCAAAACCTAAATCTCCACTTAAATTTAAAATATTTTTATAATGATTTCTACACAAATTATCTTAAACTTCTCAAAAATGTAAACTTATCCATTAGTACAGTGGATCCCAACTGGTAAGCTATAAAGTGGCAAATTAGTGATTAAGCTGGGTAGGCTTAAACCTAGGAGTACAGAAGGAAAGAGGTCAAAAAAAAAAAGCTGAAAACTAATGGTTCAATTGCTATTTTATTTAACATAACTTAATGACATTTTATTATAAAGGTAACTCCCGTATAACATGGCACTTCTATAGCATGGATTCACTCTAACACGGTTCGAGAATTGGTACCATCCCCGTATAACACAGTACTGTTATAGCACGGATTCACTCTGACACGGTTCGAGAAATGGGTAAAACCCTCGTACAACATGAAATGTAATAAATTTTTACATACTTAAGTACTAATAGTTCATGAAAATAATAATTTTCGTGAACTGTTAGTACTTCAGTATGTAAATTTTCTTTTCTCGCCTTTTGTTCATACACATTGTCCTTCTCGAAACTTGTTTCAATTTTGCCAGATGTTTTTCCCTTATTCCATAAGTGCTTAGCACCATATGAGGAAATTAATAAAGATCTTTTAACTAGAAGCACGCAATCTAAAATTACATACTTTTTGCAAAAGGTAAAGCATGAATCTGAAGATAATGCAGAAAAATGCTCAGAGGATAAGGATAACTTGCCAAAAAGAAAACGCTCTCAGTTAATAGTGCTTTTAGTGATGACGAAGAAAACATTGTTTAATTTATATTAATATGTATCACTTTAAAAAATTTTAATAAAGATATTTATCTTAATTATGAAAATATAGCATGTTTTTTTTAATTTTTGGAACCTAACCCTCCTTTTCGTACTAGTTCTTTGTTTCGTATAACACGGATTCGCATAACACGGCAATTTTTTGGAACGTAACTATCATGTTATACGGGGGTTACCTGTATTCAAGAAAGAATGAGACAGGGGCAAGATCAGATATCTATCTACTCAACCTCAGGTGGTAGTTAATCTACTGTGTGTCGTGAAACCATTCTTAGTGTGCCATACGACAAAAAAATGACAAATTTTAAAATATGTAAAAGCAATAAAATGTAATTCTACAAGTTATCAACTATATTTCAGAAGTTTGTTCTAATAAATTATCATAAAAAAGTATTAAAGAGAGCTTCATGATTGACCTGTTGGCTGGTCCCGTAATATTTAATAAGTGCCCCACAAACTTTGCATTATTGTTTAATGGTACCATAATTGTTGGAAATCAATGCATTAGTCTGATCAAAATTATAGCAATGTAAATTTATTTATACAATCTGTAAAACGGAATTTTGCTTTATATTTTAAAAAACGAATATTTACATGAGCAAAGATAGAAAACTTATATAAACTCGAATGACGTTAATAACTCATAATCAATTTACTAGAACAACATTGCTTATGTCCTCATAATTATCAAACGCTTGTTACAAAAACCCTTTTCAATTACTTGTTTATTTTTTAATAAACAATTGATTTTTAATGAGCAAAATTACAACGGTGTAGCTACGTTTGTTAATGATGAAAAGCGTTTAATATAATCTGATAGTATATTTAAAAATCTAATTTTCATCTTATGTGTATCTGATCTTGTTGATTAACACCCATAAAGTTTACTTAGAAGCTGTAATAATCACAATATAAATTAAATGGCAACATATGCTCGATTCATAACAGAACCCACCACCTGTCCACATTGCAACGTACATCTTGTCTTCCTCCAAGAAGCATCCATCTTCAAACTCGAGCATCGTTATTTACTATTTTGGTGTTTATCTTTCACAATTTTAACAAATAACTCGAGAACTTTAACAACACTCCAATTACATTCTCCCACTTCCTCTAGTTACAAAATTCAACAAAAGTGTTGCCAGTTCATAACCTACTTGATATTTTAAAAATTAGCCAAAAAACAATTTTTCTGATCTTTCACTAGTTTGTTCAATTATAATACTTAATTAATTAATTAATTGATTAATTAACCATTATATCGTCCGGATAGACAAAGTGATAAAAGTTCAGTCTACCATTCTGGGAACCTGGGTCGATTTTGTATTGGATCCTCATAAGTTTTCATAAGCAGTTTGAACCGAGAGAAAATTTTTATTTCAAAATTCAGTTATTAGGACAAAATTTGGCGCCGCTATCTACCTAATTTATATATTACGTACGTTTTCTAACGATTTTATAGTATAAAAGAAGTCGCAAAACATGTCGAGTCCATTCCTCCTCATCTAGTTGCTCTGGGTTTGATCAAATTCGTAGAAAAAAAAAAAGTCATTCTTAATACCTACAGGTCAAAACGAATTAATAAAATTCAAGCTGTATGCTTTTCTCATAGCGTAAAACAACATTAAACTTCTTCAAGTGATCAGCCTTCACTTTGATTTCCTCATAAAGCAAATTAGACTGTTTTGTTTTCGATACAGTGCTTCCTTACAGCATATATCGGCATGAGCGTAGCCAGGAAGGGGCATGGGTGGGCACGGCCCCCCCAGTTAACCTGGTGCCCTCCCCAGAAAATCACAGCCGAAAAAGGGTTGAGCCAATTTGCAAAAAGAAATAAAACGTTGAAGCTAATTCAATTTTGTGTCAGGTTGGCCTCTACTAGGCCCCCCATAACAAAACTCTGGCTACGCCCATGTATATCGCGTGGTAAAATATTAACCTATCTCCTTGGAAATCCGTATTTGAACCTGATCCAGACTGCTCCCATAATTTATTGTGATTATTAAAGGGTCGAAGTATTGTTCTTTAGTCTGGTCGATTTCATTGCAAATTTAGCCTCCTTTAATGGGCATACTGTGTTAGCCATGCAGCCTACGATGTGCTAGTGACTCGCGTTAAGCAATAATTAATCCCTCAAAAAAACGTTTGGATGAATTTTAGCATTGTAAAGTGCCCTAGTAAGTTGTAAAGTATTATAAGTCTGTTCCAAAAAAAAGACAGCTACATATTAATTGACTGATTAATTGATTTATTGACACGAGGTGTCAAAATCTAAAGTGACCGTACGAACAGCATTAGATTGGCAATCAAATTCCATTTTCCCTTTTGTTCAGCGCTGAAAAGAATCCGAGAAACAGTCCAGCATTCAAAATTCGATTTATTATTAAATTTTACTTATAAACCTTTCAGAATTTTATTAAGATATTTTAATTTGTATATACCTGTAAATAATATTGATATTATGACTAAATATATTACTTTATGACTATAAGTATAATATTTTTCCCCTTAATTTGACATCGTTGGTATTATTTCTTCAAGTTGTGTTCTCTGTTTTGAGCATAGACGTTTTCAATTGTTGTCATTCGATACTCATTATTTATATTGGCTGAGTTATTTTAAATGTAAGAATCAAGTAGCTGTTACCCGCGACTTCGCCCCCGGAGGTTTTGCAAGCAAACCCTATTTATATTCAGTATTTCAACAACCATAGTAATCGTTATATAACACCTACCGCTGAGAATCAAACGATTTGTTTTCAATTTGATCAATTTTCTAGAACGTTTACAATCGTTCTATAATCGAACCAATATGCAATAACAAATTCGAATTTAAAACGGTTCGAACACTTGGTTAAAAAATCGAAATAGGCCTATATAAAAATATTTATAACAATGTCTGAAATGTTATCAATTTAATACATCTAAGTATTCGACGAAGACTAAACGTAGTTGAAAAGAAACAAATTGCATCTAAAATAGTATAGTATAAGCCGTTCTTCAGTTTAAGCCTTAATCCTCTCCCTTTCCCCCCGCGGGAAAATTTCGAAAAATCCCTTGTTAGTGTGCGTTTTCATGACGTACCCTAACTGTGTACCAAATTTCACCTCTTTAGGTTCAGCGGTTTGCTCTGGGCGATGATGAATCAGTCATTCAGTCAGTCAGACATCAGGACAAATAATTTTATATATTTAGATAATACAAGAGTGTAAAAAAAATAATTTATTAACAAAAATTAAAAAAAAAATTTAAAAAAAAAATTAAAAAAAAATTTAAATTTACATAACTAGCAAAACTGGTATTTTTACAATAAAATCCAGAATTAATCTTAATATTCAATGCCAAGTCTTCATAAAACTTAAGAAAATATTTCTGCCGATATGCATAAATTTCGGCCTTTAATTATTAATACTGTGTTATGTGACAAGGGCCATCAAAAACTTGCTATGGCCCACGATAGAGAGGAAATAGAATGGAACCACTGTTTTTTGAACAAATCAAACACGTAGAAAATTTTTCTTTATTAATTAACAAATAGCAATCTTAAAACTTTTATTTTTTAGTAAAAATAACATTCATTTATAGGTGCAAAAACCACTGTGGGTCTGTAAATTGTCTCCGATATAAAGATTTCAATTGCTTTCTTAACCAGAAAATTAAACTGAATTAATATTCTAAATAAATTCGGATTAAAGCTAAAACCAATGGTCTTAGGCAGCCAAGTATAATATTAGTAAGATGCAGAATTTTAAAATTAATATTACAGATTTCTAACGTACAAATAACAGGTGGTAAACAGCGCAGATATGATAAGGTACAGTACGGTATATGTAAAATACAGCTATAAATTAACTTGTCTGCGATAACAGAACTACATAATTGGCTGAGTTTATTGTACAATTTATAGACCTATGTTTAAATAAATAATCAAAAATTTTAAAAATAAATTTCGTTTGATCTACTAATTGATAGATTTACGAGAGAAAATTGGTAAATATTTTCTAACTAGGCTATCATTATTATTTATTTGTTTTTATATTATTGTTAGTGTCACTACTATTTTTCTCTATAGTTAAGTTTGTGTTTTCCTTTTGGTTAACCTTTTTTTGTTATCCAGTTCCAAAGAACATCGACAGATTTTCTTTCCGATTTATACAAAATAATTGTATAAAACAATTAAACCCGCGTTTTTTTATCTCTTTCCGCTCGCTCTGAATACACTAAAAGTGTATTTTTAAACGTGAGAGCCCAAATGAATGTGAGAGCACATGTCATATTTCATCATGCAAAATAGCGATTGTTGAGCAGATGGATAAGCTCAGCACAGACGAAGCACGGGCTGTATTAAGTATTGTATTGGCGGAAATAGATTTTATCTCCAGTAATTGGCAAATTAATGTTAAGTTAGTTACGATGGAAGAGTTCAGAATCGAACGCAGTAGTTCGGTTTTTAGTGGCTGAAGAGAATAGGAGTGCCGACATCTATAGGGGAGGGTGGGGATGAAAGGGACAAAATTCATATTTTTATTTTTCACTGAAAAAGTTCACTTCTAATCAGTTTTATTTTTAGTGCAAAAGATTCATTAAACCTTTACTTTATTCTGACCATATTGTGAATTCATCCTATTATATTGGTACAGTAGTTGAACATTTTCATATTTTTAAAGACCTCTCCAGGTGTCCCTTTCATTCCCACGTCTGGGTTGAAAGGGACACCCTCGGGGATGAAAAGGACTACTTGCATTTTAATGTAAAACTTAGAATTAGTTATCTCAATGTTTTCAAATTTCATTATAACTGAAAAGTGATAGACTAGAGACTAAAATTTTTAAAAATTACAGTTTTAATAATATGAATTTTGTGACATCACAATTATTTTAAACAGTTAAAGATTATCAATATTTTTAAAACAAAGAATATCAAATCTTTTCAAACAATAACTAAAGAATATCACAATCAGTAGGCTATCACATAATTAAACTGTCTTTCTTTGGTCAATAGAATGTTTTTCGCAATTTATCCCAGCTGATATGAGGTGAAATCGGTGGGAAATGTAATGTTTGCTTGCTCTTGCCGTTCCTCCTGCTTGGGATGGATGGGGTAGTTTTAAAACTATATTTTCCATGATGACATCACTGATATCATCCTCCTCAGGAAATATAAACTTGAAACATCCCAATATTTATTCATAAACTTGACTTTCAAGTCTTCATCACTCAGTTTCTTCAAAACTTTTCCCACAAAGTAAACAACAGAAGTTTTTTTGCAAATCTGACTAAAATGAAATCATTGGGCTGAACATGTTTGACAGTGTTTTTGATATCAGATCCCTCACTCGATGTTGCATCAGACGTTGAGGAAGAGCTGCTTTGAGATCTTTCATCTTCACTTTCAGTTTCTTCTGGAATATGTTGCAACAGCTGCTTTTTAGATTTTGTCCTCATTGATGATGCTTGCATTAAATACAATGTTAATTCTGTCTCCATTTCTGTAGTAAAAACTTTCCTGTTACCCACATGCAGTGAATACACTACATTGTCTTTTTTATATTTTGAAGCGAGTTTAGCCAAATGCAATTTTGCATTTCCTTGGGCACTGGCTGTAGCCCTGATTGATGCTTCTTTTTTCAACAACTTCAATTATTGCCCCTTGAATCACTTCTGGCGTCTCACGTTCTTTCTGTTTTTTTTTTTTTTATATACTTTCGAGGCAATTTTTTTCTATTAAAAAAATTTAGCATTAGAAACATGCAAAAAATGTCAATATGGGGTTGAAAGGGACATGTCCCATTCATTCCCTATTTTACTGTCCCTTTCAACCCCCAGGCCTCAAACAACCAAAACTACAACTTAACTTTCTGACAGTGAAATATAATTTAAAACTGATTAAATAAACATATTTTAGAGGTTTCAAAGTAATTATCCTGATTTAAGTACATTATCCAATGACTATGTTTGAGATTTTACCCCTAAATGTAAGAAATGAAAAAAACTTACTTTTGCATGCGTTTTCTGCTCATCCAGGCATTCCAAACACTGGTGCTAATGTATTGGACCCTACAAATGTGTGAAAACTATGGACTATTAGTGTCATCTATCCGTGAAATAGCGAAGCTCCATAAGTAATTTAACAG